GACATTTTACTTTCATGATAAATTTTATGCAGTTGGCTCTAGATTAGGTGATTCCACACTACGTCTTTACTTTAGGCTTGTTATACCAACACTCACTACACTTATAAGGTTTCACAGCACGCCCCCTCACAGCCCCCTTGCATCCCCTTCACTAAAATCGTAATGGCCAGACAGTAATTGTACTATTCTATCTGGATAAACGCATGTTGGTTTCTATGACTCCTTCTATTTCGAGAAATCAAACATGACGTGACAGACTATGGCTTTTATATAGGTTAGATAAGGGAAAAATTAACGGAAAGTAGGAATGGTTGGTTATTTGTAGAATATAAGATATCCAAAACAAAATAAATGCTGCAATAAAAAGTACACAAGTAAGTAATGTGATACTAGTTGGATAGATTTTCAAATCCCTATTTTGTTTGGCAAATTCAGACTGCTTCATTTAGCTATAGGGATCACAATGACTTAACCAAAATAACTAAAGATATTTAAAATCATTTTCATTCGAGCAAGCCGGTAACTGTGCAAGTGCTTAATAATGGCCATTTAATTGAGCATGATCGATGAAGGAAGCAATCGTTCCAAGGCATCACTGGGACTTGTAACTACCTCATTATGAAACACGACTAACTTCCAGAAGTGTATCACATTAGGATGCTTTTCAGAGAATCTTTAATTTGAAACATCTCAAAATAACGTCTGTTATAATTGAAGTTTTCAGAGAACTGTGTAGGTATTTTCTTTGTCACTTTAGTGATTTTTGTCTGCCATTCTAGTCCTGTATTTTGTGTTTAACCACTGTTCAAATGATTGACCACTAAGGAGAACATCTTTTAGAAAGGTAAATTGTGTTACAATTACCTTTAACTAGAACATCCTTTAGGAAAATAAACTGGGTTACAATTACTTTTAACTATAACATTCTTCATGAAGGTAAGCTGTGTTACAATCACCTTTAACTAGAACATTCTTCAGGAAGGTAAACTGTGTAACAATTACTTTTAAATAGAACATTCTTCAGGAAAGTAAACCGTGTTATAATTACCTTTAACCACAACATCCTTCATGAAGGTAAGCTGTGTCACAATTATTTTAAATAGAACATCCTTCAGGAAGGTAAGCTGTGTTACAATTACCTTAAACTAGGATATCATTCAAGAAGGTAAGCTGTGTTACAATTACCTTTAACTAGAATATCCTTCAGAAAAATAAGCTGTGTTACATTTACCTTTAACTAGAACATCCTTTCGGAAGGTAAACCGTGTTACAATTACCTTTAACTAGAACATCCTTTATGAAGGTAAGCTGTGTTACAATTACTTTTAACTATAACATTCTTCAGGAAGGTAAGCTGTGTTACAATTACTTTTAACTATAACATTCTTCAGGAAGGTAAGCTGTGTTACAATTAATTTTAACTAAAACATTCTTCAGGAAGGTAAACCGTGTTATAATTACCTTTAACTAGATAAATAATAATTAGTCTCCATGCATAGGAAAAATTGTCAGTATCTCACTCTTTGTCCCTTGGTGTGTAAGTTTACGTACTTTAAATGCTAAATCCGAGATTCGATTCCGCAGAGGACATAGCGTAACAAAATAAATCAAATAAACAGCCTCTCTTTGTAAACCAATTTTGTATTTAAACAATTTTTTGTGAAAAACGGAAAATGTACGTGTAAACCTTTTTCAAACTGTACTGGTTTTATTTACTACTTCTAATGACATTTGGTTCACCATCTTTGACGTCATGTGCTATTTTACCCAATACTTTCATCATAACATTGTTACTTTTAACAGGTTGTTTATTACTTTCATTCGGTAATTAATTGAACGATTACTTTTTACTAGAAAACTTACATTGAAACAGTTTTGTTTGTTCTAGATGTGTGAAAACAATAATCAGCACACTGTTCATGAAGACGTTGGAAAAATGAAAAAGTTCACAAACGTTTTGCACATTGGATCATTTTATATAAAAATATATATGGAAGAAAATTTTTTAAATCAATTAGTTAAGGAAGCAAAAATGTTTTATCGAGGAGCTCATACTTTGAAATGGACCTTTCCAAAAATAGATACCAGTAAACACAAAATGGTGACCTTATCTCTTTAGTCCATCAGAGACGCACTAAAGTAACCGTGAAACAACACGATCCAGAGCACAATATCATCACAAGACTGCGTCTTTTGTAGGGAAGTAACTGCGGTCAATAGGAAAGTCGGGGACTTTCAGATACGGAATGATGAGGAAAGCAGAAAAAAAGGTTAAGATAAGGAAGCTTAAACAGGCTAGAAAGTGATATAACCCAGAAGTAAAAGAGAAGATGTAGTAAAAGAGATTCGATATCAGAAATTAGTAACCCGGATGAAAAACAGTAGAAGTTAGAGAAATGTGTTCGAACTCTATTTAAAAAGAAATTTATTTTACTGTAGCATTAACGACAATTCCATGGTTGGAAACAATACATTAAAAGAAAGTCTTGGTAAAATTAGGAAAGTGTGGGGTTTGTGAAATTAAAGAAGATGATATTATTGAGGGAAACATGGGATGTTCTTAAAACGATTTACATCTAAGAAGTAGAGGTTGTGAGGTACAGCTCTGAACTTTATACAGTTAGCCAAGCTAGTTGTTGTTCTTCGGTAAAAGTTAGATACGATGTCAGGGTTTATTTATATGTTCCCCAACACACTTCATTCACCATAAGTACATGATTCTAAACCATTAATGGTATTGATCTCGTGCATGTTTATCTTACACACATACAGAGACAGTATGTATAACTAGAAGAATTGTTACTTTTTATTGAAACATTCTGATGAAATATTGACCATAAATGAAGATTTGAAATTTAGTTTGTAAATTTTCGTGGTAGTCTTACCCTGTGAAATAATAATAATATTTTTAAATAGAAGAAAACTTTTTAGAAGTAAATGCTTTTTGTATACAGAAAATTATCATAAAATTGCCTCTTGCTGTGTTAAGACGATAAATAGGATAGTCCTACGAATATAGATTACATACCGAAGGTTATGTTCTTATACTGTTTTTCAAAATATCCTCTCTACCGTTGTCAGGGTTATTTCTTTGGATATTCTATGATGTGGTTCAACAAACTGTGAAGGTAACATATGGATGTATGATTAAGATGTTTTTTTAAGAAGCTTCCATATACCTGGTGTCACTTAATAATTTTCCAATACTGAAATATTTAGTTACTAAGTTTATGAACAACATATACATGGAAATAGGACTGTATAAACCATGTCATATGTTTGTTTAAAACAATATCATATATATATATATATATAAATGTAACAAATAAATAATTACCAACCTCTCATAAGTAAAATTACTCGTAGTAAGTATTCCACCGAAGCAGTAAACCATTTTCGGTTGTGAAACCGTTTCCATGCTCCCATGGCGGACATTTTGAAGATGTCTGCTAAGTAATCTTGTTATTTTCTAGATGACGAGTTATCTGACCATCAGAAGATTATCTTCACCTATATTACCAGAAATATGAATAATAATTAATAGATAAATATATAGTAATCCTAAGGAAGATTAACCCTGGGAATATTTGTAACAGAAACTACATTTCGACATAGAACAATAAAGTTTAACAAAACAGCATGATCAAAAATTAACAACTAAGGCAGCATAAACTTCGAGTTTATTGAAAGTAAGTCTAGTGTATGTTTATCATCTGAAGATCTCAGATAAATCTGGTGATTGTCAATCACCTGAAGAGGTAAGGTCAAACTGGTGTATGTTTGTCACCTGAAGATGCCAGGTAAACTTGGTGTATGTCTGTCAGCTAAAGATGCCAGGTAAACTTGGCGTATGTTTGTCACCTGAAGATGCCAGGTAAACTTGGCGTATGTTTGTTACCTGAAGATGCTAGGTAAACTTGGTGTATGTTTGTCACCTGAAGATGCCAGGTAAACTTGACGTGTGTTTGTTACCTGAAGATGCCAGGTAAACTTGGTGTATGTTTGTCACCTGAAGATGCCAGGTAAACTTGGCGTATGTTTGTTACCTGAAGATGATCAGGTAAACTTGGCGTATGTTTGTTACCTGAAGATGCCAGGTAAACTTGGCGTATGTTTGTTACCTGAAGATGCCAGGTAAACTTGGCGTATGTTTGTTACCTGAAGATGTCAGGTAAACTTGGTGTATGTTTGTTACCTGAAGATGCCAGGTAAACTTGGTGTATGTCTGTCACCTGAATAAACTAGCTCAGTAACTTACCTTTTTTCTCGAGTTACCTCACTATATTTACAAACTGAGAATCATAATATAGGGGGTTTAATTAGGTTAAACATTTTGTTTATATGTAGTACAGACATTTATTAAACTATCTTTATTTTTTTAACATGTCTCGTAGTTATGGTATTTAATTCCTTAGAATATCTGCCTTTAAGATACTACAATAATTATCAGTTATACTTGTCATTTAAGGACGGTTTTTAATTACCAGATGTCGCTATGATCACATCATATCATAAATGCTTGTTTCCACATGAATTTTATCTCTTGTTGCGAGAAAACCAATTGTGTTACATTTTTCAAGTTTTAATGACTTCTTTTAAACATGTTAATAGATTCGTAAAAGTTTGCAAAGTATTTCAATTAAAGTTTCTTATTTTAGTTTAGTTGTTTTTACATCGAGGCCTCTGACTTCACGTAACTTTATTCTGCTATTCAACGATTTTTCACTCTTTTCCGTTTATCATAAAAATACACTCTAGTAGAAACTGTATGACTAAGAACGGTAAAGTTGTGATACAGCAAATTATATATTTTATGGCTGTGTTTATCGTTCATTTATTATTTCCTTCTATCGTTTAGTTTATCTGTGAATTTTTAGTTGTATTAAAACGTCAACTCACCTTCTACATAATCATTTGTATTTGGAATAAATATATATGTGTACATTTGCTGTTATGTTAAACTTATATTAATGT